CCAGAATTCCTCAGCCAGCTTTGCTGGCTGAGGAATTCTGGGAGTTGAAGTCCACAAGTCTTAAAGTTGCCAAGGTTGGACACCCCTGCTTTAAAGTCTCAGGACAATTGAATTTGGAAATTGAGAAGGAAGTACCCCTTGTTAATAAGATAACTTGTTGATAAGTTGTAGAAGCTCCCACACAGTGAAAACCAGAGAGGACCTCTTGCAAGCGAGAAGGTGAGGATAGCAGCTTAGGCATGGAGCTTATTAGGCCAAGGATCATGATAATGCTAACAATCAAAGTGTTCATCTCATCAAGTAGATGACAAAATCAGATGGATTTGTAACTGGCTGACAGACCACACTCAATGAGTAGTCCTTAATGGTACTACATCTACATGGAGGAAAGTAAGCAGTGGGATACCACAAGGTTCTGTCTTAAGCCCAGTACTCTTCAACATCTTCATAAATGACTTAGATGAAGGACTAGAAGGGGGACTCACCAAATTGGCAGATGACACTAAGCTGGCAGGAATAGCCAACATCCCAGAAGTCAAGCTCAGGATCCAACATTTTGTTGATAGACTTAAACAATGGGCCCTATCCAACAACATGAAATTTAATGTGGAGAAAAGCGAGGTTTTACACTTAGGAAAAATCAAAGGTACAAGTAGTTTTTGAAACCAGGCTCAAAAACTAACTGGGAGAGCAACCTTGGAGTGCTAGTGGGTGATCACTTAAATATGAGCGAGCAGTGAGCAGCTGCCACCCGAAAAGCTAATACAATCCTTGGTTGTATAAACAGAGATATATAATCAAAATCATGTTGAAGTAATAGTACTGCTTTATAAAGCCACATCTAGTAAGACCACACCTGAAATACTACATCCAATTTTGGTCATCACATTACAAAAAATATGTTGGGGCTTTGGAAAAAGTGCAAGGAATAGCAACTAAGATGATTAAAGGCCTGGAGATAAAACATATGAACGGTTGCAAGATTTGGGTTTGGTTAGTCTCGAGAAATGAAGGGACATGATAGCAGCATTCCAGTATTTGAGAGGTTGCCACAAAGAGGTCAGCTGATTTTCCAAAGCACCAGAGGGCAGGACAAGAAACGATGGAAACTAACCAGAGAGAGAAGCAACCTGGAATTAAGGACAGTGAGGACAATTAACCAGTGGAACAGCTTGCCTCCAGAAGTTGTGGGTGCTTCATCACTGGAGATTTTTAAGAAGAGACTGGACAGTCACTTGTTTTAGAATGGTATAGGGTCTCCTGCTTGAGCAGAGGGTTGGAGTAAAAGGCTCCCATGATCCCTTCGAGTTCTATTCTCCATTCTATTCAGTAAGTAGTGTCCAGTGTATCTTAATTTCATTTGCAAGGGATCCTGAGAAGAAAACAGATCTTCTACTTCTAATTACTTGATCCTGGCAGTCCTTTGCCTCTTTTGTTTGTTTATAGCTTGGGACTTGCCAAAACATGAACTCTCTTTACTACTATCTGTAATGAATGAATTAACTTAGCAATTAGGGCACAACAGGGAAGATGGAACTCTGATTGTTTTATTGAGTTTTGTGGCCAGGACTTTGGGGGAAGCTGAGCTTATGAACTGTGGCAAGCTACACAAAATTATATGCCTGTAGAAATGGTCTAGAAGGGTTCAGCTTTATTGATTATATACTGAGAGAACTGGTGTGAAAGTGAGCGACCTGGAGGCTACTAATAATATTTCTACATGATAGTGCCATCCTGTGTGAAAGCTGCTAGCTGAGTAGGGATGTTTGGATTGATGGAGTGGTCCCTGCCAATGGTCCTTGGGAACATGATAGGTTCTTGACCACTCTGAATGGGAGAAGAACAAAGTTGTCAATATGTCTCAGGTTCAGTTTAATCCAGTGATTTCTTTTAATGTTGAGATTTCATTTTCTTCCCATGGTTTATCAATAGCCCAACAATGGGTGTACTATCTCTCCTTGGTCAGTCTAAGTTGTCTTTCCTGAACATGCTCTGCCCAATCTCTGATCTAGGCATGGCATCAGATGAGCTGCTATAGATGTTTTTGTACCCTATAATGGGATGATAATCTTTTTCAGAATTAAAATTGGAGGCACACTTTGCCAAATACCTCCAAATATTTATTTTGTGGATTATGAAGGCATTGGGATTACTATGATACATCCCAAACAATGTGACTGAGCTACTCACAATACGTGAAGGAATGTAGCTGAAATAATTGTTGTTAACTGGGCAGGTTAATCCCATGTACAGGTTTTTTTTTGTTTCTCACCATGGTACAAATGCTGTAAGGCTGGATTTGCAGAGAGGGATGCAACAGAGCCTACATAGAACGGTGTTGATCTTAGACCTGCTGCCAAGAGACATGAGAAAATGATCATATTTGTATCCTATTTTTGTAGGGAAGATTTGTAATTAAAGTTATACAAACTTGCATTCATGCTTTGAGATGGCGGTTCTGATCAATGTTCTTATTTCTCTCTAGCATCTACCTAGGCAACTCGGGGACATTTGGCCTCTTTCCTAATAACCGCCTCAAGCGGAGACCAAGTCATTATGAGCAAGACATTACTGAAGGTGAGTGGCCATGGGCAGAGGGGGTATTCAGCCGGTTCTGACCAGTTCTGGAGAACCGGTAGCAGAAATTCTGAGTAGTTTGGAGAACTGGCAAATCCCACCCATCTGTCCTCTGCCTCCCAAATCCCAGATGATTGGCTGGGTCTTCTTTTGTTGCCCTGCACAGCAGAACGGAGCTGGAAAGCAGGTTAGTGGAATGGGGATTTTGCAGTAACCTTCCCTTGCCATGCCCACAGAACCAGTAGTAAAAAAATTTGAATCCCACCACTGGCCATGGGGGAAAAATAAAGGGTGTTTCTCTCCCAGGACATAGCAGAGAGAACTAGCAGAGAAACACATGTGACGGATATAGAAACAGTTTATATAAAGTGACTGCCAGCATGGGGGGAAGGAGTTCCCAAATCATGTTCAGCATGATCCCTTTTGCAAAGGCCTCTTACTGTTTGAGACTTTTCCTTGTATCTGCCTAGGTCATCAACCTCAGAAAGTGGCACGCCGGGTCTTCACTAATAGCCGGGAACGGTGGCGTCAACAGAATGTGAATGGTGCCTTTGCTGAGCTTCGGAAACTCATTCCCACCCACCCACCTGACAAGAAGTTGAGTAAGAATGAGATTCTTCGCTTGGCCATGAAATATATCAATTTCCTGGTCAAGCTACTGAGTGACCAGGCCAGACTGGCTGGAGGGGAGACTGCTGAAACAAACAGCCCCTGCAATGGCACTCCCAGGACTCCATCACCATCAGCATCCATAAAACTGGAACAGTTAACCGCTGAGTCAATGACTGTGCTGGAAGCAAGAGAATCACGGTGATGTCTAGCAGTAAAGACCACCATCACCACCCTTTTCTGTGCATCTACAATGCTGCACATGTGGTTCAAGCGAGCATCAGTGGAAACTCCTTGGGCTGCACATCCCTTCCTTGAGTCCATCACCCATGGAACAGTCTGCCATAATAGGATTATATTGGCTTTGAAAGATTTCATTTGACTTCAGGAATCCAAAAACAGAGGGAGAAGGTGCTGGAGTCCCTTTGACTGAGACATCCATTGATGTCCAATGGAAGCCTCAAAATGTGGGTACTCTGGGAGAGATGAGGTTTTATGTACAATTCCCTGGTTTAGGGCAGTAGGAAACTGCTTGAGCAAGTTCTATATGATATCTGGTTTGCATAAGATACCCTCTAGCTCTTGTTGGCTGTAAGAGGAAGACCTTGATGTCAGGCAGCACTATAGCTGGAAAAGGTGCTCTGGAGTTTCATTTTCACTGTTTGCTGATTAGTGCTTCTGGTTTTTAGCCTTAACACTGCTCCTGCCAACAAATCTAAGCCTTAATTATTGTCAGTACCCCACATAAATATTTGAGCCTGTACAAAAGGGCAAAAGGAAATAAAAAGAAGTGGCAAGGTTAAGAAGCTGAGCTCCCAGGCCCCGTCTACTTTCCACCTTCCCATCAAAATGGGACTCTGGCTCGGCTATATCAGTGACATCTTTCTAGATGGGAAAAGAGCTACTGAAGGACTTTTGAGCATTCTTGTCAATGGCTTGGAAAGCAATGGCTGTGTAACCATACAGACTGTTCAGTGCATCTGCTGTGCTCTGCCTAGTTGGGTGTTCAGTAGTAACTCAGCCAAGGCTACAGGCAGTGGTTTGTGTGAGCATGTCTTCTTTTTGACATGCTTATTTTCCTGCATGCATAATGTTTTTCTTGGCAATTTTTGTGCAGAAACCTTCGTTATCAGTCCCAAAAAGCAGGAGCACCATCTCTGCAGGAGAACTGGGCCTTAACAATGGTCTCTTGTGAGCCAGGTGTGCTGTTGGGGAGTTACTCCAGATGCAAGCAGTTAAGAGGGAGTGGGTGGTGGTGGTGGTGCAGTAGCTGCTGTGTCACTCCCAAGGGGCCAGTTGGATGGGTGGGAGGTTGCTGGGAGCCCACAGTTTCAGAAACCTTCTCCCTTCCTGGAAAGAGAAGGGCGGTTTATGCTGAGTCAATATCTCGAACTTCTCCTCAAACCCTGGGCCCCTTACCAAAACCACATATGACAGCAATGATTCTGGAGGGAGGGAGGCCTGAGCTGCCTGTTATCAGATGAAGAAGTTTGCTGAAAGGTCTTTGGGGTGAAGGAAGAAGAAAGATTACCATATCTACACACACACACACACACACACACACACCAGGACCCAGATTTGCTTGTAAAGGAAATTGTTCTCCGCTAATATTTGTTTTTATTGGGAGGAGGATTTGTAAGATGGGATTCTTACACTCAATGCTGTCCAGACCAGAAGCTCCTTGGAACCAAATTCTTCTTAGTTGTATGATGTTTTCAACTGAAATCAATGCCATAAACAAAAAGAAAAGTAATATATTTGGTGATAATTGTTGACATTGTAAAAGATTGTGTGGGTTGCATGCTATATTTTGAGTTTGAATTTTTCACTGCAAGGAAATGATGAGGAAATATGTGTGTGTGTGTGTGTGTGTGTGTGTGTGTGTAGTGTGCTTGTTGAAGATACAAAAGTACTGCATCCTGAGGTGATTCCTCCTCAGTCCTCTCTGACATGCTGTAAAGTATGGCAGTAGCACCGCAATGGTTGGATGAAGCCACATTTCAATGTCTAGAGGGGAAATGGCCCAAGTATGCCCACAGGGCCTGGTGTATTATTCTGCCAATACCCAGCAGCTTACCTGATATCATGCACATTCCTTGGGTAGCTCTTCCTTGGCCACAACCTAGTTACATGCTAGAAATTACCCCCCAAATACACAGAGCTGAATGGCAATTTATGACACGTTCCTGTTCCTCTTGCCAGTTTTGGTCTCATTCACTTTGCTGTGATTAAGGAGGTTTTCCTTTTTTATTCAACTTTCTGAGTTTGTAGTCTAAGCAATCACTATGCCTTTCTTTCTTCCTCTTGTCCACTTTCTAAGCAGTCCTTCAATCACAGGATGTTGATTTTATTTTATTTTTCATATTCCCTTATCATGCTATACTGGTTCTTGCTCTAGTCAACTCAGTGAAAGGATCCAGAATATCTGTTTGGGTTTGCACAACATACTGAAGCCTTAGCCAACTATCTTTTAGCCCAGAATCTAGCCAGGGTGGGAAATCTTGTGGCCACCGTGTCATGCAAACCCAAGAAAGATAGTAAACTGTAACTGAATGCAGTCTAAACCTGTGAATACCCATTAATGTTTATTATCCAATCATTCTTTAAGTTAGTGACATCTTTTGTTTAGCTGTTATTGTTTATGTGGAATCTTTGAGGTGCCAAAATCAAATTAAACATTTTGCTCAGAATTTAGTGAAAATAACATGGTTCCAAGGAAAACAACTACCGGTAATCGAAACATAGCAGGCCCAGTCAGTGAACTATTCTGCTCAGGCTCCACCATAACGAATTGGAAAGCTTAAAGAAAGATGCTGTTCAGCAGGCAAGAGCAACTTCTACCAGACTGTTAGAATTGATAGATGTGCAGAGGATGTGGTGTGTTTGTATGTATTGCTGAAGGACCCTGTAAACCGAAGTAGGGTAGCCATATTTTAAAAAGCAATGGATGCCATTACAATCCAACTTAGAGTACATAATGAAAATTGGATACATTTCCCACTATGCTGGCATATGGAAGGTGCTGGTTTTAAATTCCATCATACAGAGACAAATGGGCTCATCCATTTTAAACTGTTGGAATCAAGTTCGTCTCTATATTTTGGTTATTGATGAGCAACAACTAACAAATTCTCCATTGTGATCCCCAGATGTCTTGAGACCAAGCTGGCAAGTAGAGAAAGACCAGCTTTTTAGACCTGTGCATTCAGCTGAGCATCTATTTTGCTTATGGTTTCATACAACTGAGTGGCGCAAGGATCACTGCACCTCTTGATTTACTCACACTTATCAATTCCATGATCCTCAAATGGTATTAACAGAAGAAGTACACATGCCTCCCCATGCTGAAAATCTCAGTTGCTCCCTGGGAGGGTCAAGCAAATAAGAAGGTCTTCAAGACTATCTTCAATTAAAAACATTTAATTGTAAAATTAATAAAATTTATTTTTTTTAAAAAAGACTATCTTCAGTATTCCCCTGTAGAAGGGGAGTCCACGGGGGATGTTTAAGGAAGTCAAGATGTCCCCTACAGTGGTGCAGTTGAAGCGCTGCCTGTTTTTATTTGCATCACATGCGGAGTTTTTGTGGATACTTGTGCTACGACACTTTAAAATCCACAGCAGGAGAGGGAGCAGGGAGATGTGTTAGAGGACCAGATATTTTTCCTGTCTGCCACTTCTTTGCCCAAAATCACCCTTCCTCTGAAGCCAAATTCAAGCGAAGCTCAAGAATTCCAGGGGAAAGTGGGGTGTGTGTGTGTGAGGAAATGGGGGGTATTTGGAAATTGAATCCCACCTCCCATACTGCTTGCTTTGATCCCATTGCCCTTCAGAAGCCGCATTCCCTCTAAAGAAGATGAAAGGTGTACTGTGGTACCATGCAATGGAGGACCACCACACCGAATACCAGGCAAAGGGCAACCAGAAAGAACCAGAAACCCTGCTAAGAAGATACATCTTGGAATTGGGGTTGTGCTGAGAAACACATAAGAAGATCCCAAGTCTACTCCAGTTAGCTGGAGTTAGGTTGCCAAAAATGGCAGTCACCATCTACCTTTATGTACTGCTGTTTTCCCAATTCCCCAGAGGATCACAATCATTTTGTCACATTCACAGCGTCTTTCCTCTTGAAGCAATTAGAGGTTTCAGGCCATGGTCCTGGGGTTTTCATTAGCAAAAATAGATTTACATTTGTATCAGAAATTGATTTAAATCTAATGATGTTAATGTTGGGGCCTGAAAGCCTTGTGCTTTTACATAAAAGAGAGGAAGGTCAAATGGTTGGTGTCAGTGCCAGAGTTGGGCTTCTGGAACAAACAAATACCCGAATATGTACATACCCTGGACAACACATACTTATAGGCTTAAAGGGATCTTAATGAGGACTACTGTCTTGACCTGTTTGTGTGCACCCGATCCTGGATGTTTTCTACATCAGGGTCCATGACTATTAATCTCTCTTTGAAGTGTTCTCTCTCTCTTTCAAGGAAGACAAGCAGAAACAAATACAGTCAATAACATTCTTTAATTCAATCAGTTAAAGAAGGTGCTGCATCTATAAATTTTTATTATGGAAAAATTGTATTAATACATGCGTATTACACCCCGCTCGGAGAGTGGCACTTGGGGAGGGAGGGATAGTGCCGAGGGCTGATTGGGACAGGGGCTGGGGCTGGAGGAGCTGACCCACCACATCACAGCTGCTGGTTCCCTTTTTGGGGGGTGAGGGTGAGAGGGGAGAAGCTACGTGCAATGCAGGCGGGTTAGCAGAGGAGCTGTTCTGCAGACTTGAGCTATCTTCCCCTGTATGAAAACCTGCAGGTGGAGAAGGGTAGAAAGTCATGATGGCTAGCAACCGAGGGGCTCCCATGAGCCCACCCACCTGGAGGCAATTTGCTTGTAATCTCTTGTAAACATATTTTGTTCACATTTCTGAAGCTGGATGCATAAAGTTTGATCGCTTTCTCTTCCTGTCTCAACTTGTTCGCTGGTGACAGCAAAGGCATCAGTTTAAGGCACTTCCCTTAATTCGGCTGCAGGGTTATGAGTTCTTTTTGCTTTCAGAACCAAACCAGTAGCAAACCAACAGCTTCATAAGGAGAGGAAGGGCACTAAAGGGTCAAGGGAAAGAGCTGGAGATGGCTGCTCTGAAGCATCAGGCTGATAGAAACAGATACGTGCATTTTGAGTCTAGACTAGGCAGGTGGGACACCTTAGCTTGGCACACTTATGGGAAAACTTACAAAAGGGCCCCCTGCCTTTGTACTGAAAAGGAGAGTTGCTATCTTAATATCCACATAGGACTAAGTCAAAATGGGGTTTCTTGTTGCAGGGGTAAAAGAGCTCTTTCTGTAAACATCCTGAGTGGATTAAAGAAGGAAATGCTCTTTAGGGCTACCATATCTGGGTTGCAAAAATATGGATGACCATTAGATAGCACCCAAAGGTTAGTGTTTTCTGTACTATATGTCTATGCTGCCTTCTAGTGGTCTTGCACTAGATCTGGTAGCATTAGGAAATGTGGTCAATAGAATGGCATCAGTGGAAGTCATTTACCTCTGCAAGAAGTGGAAGACACAGCAAAACACATTACAAAACTTAGGAAAGAAGATTTGGGGGACAAAGCAGGCCTTTTGGCCTTACTTGCCATCTCAGTCAACTCAGTGCCATTTGGAAGGGATGCTCTTCCAAGTCTTCATGGGAAACAGGAGCAACGTTTCTTTCCTCCTAACATTGAGCCCCTTAGATCGTCCCCTGGGAATGGCTACTGAACTCCCAGATTTCAGACTACTAATCCTTAGGCCCCTTTATCAGATCACAACAGTCTCTGGCAAACACATGGTAGGTTTTTGGAAACCCACAGGTGCCTAAACAACCTTTGAAATAAGTTTATTCAAAGGCAAAAGTTAAACTTGTCACTAATATTTCCTGTCACACCAGATATGACAGCAATTTGCCCATATTTTTATTGTTAGGCTGCCCTAGCCAAATATCAACAAAGAGGAAAGGAGAGTTTGATTTAAGAACAAAGGAAGATAAAGGTAAATAGTGCTAAGTCCTCTCCCTGCTCAGGGCATACCTTCCTACTGGCTCCACAAAAGTGCTTTTCTCTTCAGCCAGAAGTGAGCTTTGCAAAGAGAAAAGTGCCTCAGAGAAGAGGTTGCAAGAAGGTATGCAAAGGATTAACAGGAGGAGCAGCAGCAGTAGCAGCAGCCACCTCTCAACACATCAACACACACACACACACACATGCACAGACACACACCTCTTAGGCACTTTAAAATTTGACCAAAAAGCTGACAGGATGTGAGTATGGAAGAAATGAGTCTAATCTTGATGTTTCTGAGCAGCTCCTCCGGAAAGCAGGGGAATGGGGAAGAAGGAAAACTGACCCCCCCATTCACCCACCAATACAGACACAGATACATGATCTTGGAGCCCTCGGCACTTCCCTCCACTGGGCTTCCCATCTCTGCTCTGAGGAAGGAACTGGTGGGAATGGGAAGAGGGAAGCCGATGATTTTTTTTTCTTTTTTAAAATATATGGTTTTTTTTTGTTGTTTTTTACAAATTTTTTAAACATTTTTATTTTATTTTTTTTAAATTCACATAACACAATAAGCCATTCCAATGGAGAAAGCCGAAGAAAGCTCAGGCAAAAATGATAAAACAGTTCGGATTTTTCTTTTTTTTTTTTTCTTTTTTTTTCTTTTTTCCTATATATATTTTTTTGTTGTGAAGCAATATTGACAGTTATAACATATGGCTACCTGCATTCTGCTAGACACGGAAGAAACTTCAGAAAGAACAAAAACAGACATAGAGCTACCCTTTATTTTCAAGTGCAGAGGGGTGGGGTCAGCAGCAGGAGGGGGCCTGGAAAAACAGACTGAAAGACACAAAGGGAGGCTTGGGGGTTCCAGGGGAAGAGGCAAGGGGGTCAGGGATAAGGAGAAAAAGCACACCAAATTCCATTAGTACTATATATATATATACTGTACTGTACTCATATATATACTGCGTTTCTTAAACAAGAAAGAAACTTGTTCAAAGGGGCAGGGGTAGGTTGCAGTCTGGGAAGCTGCAGTTTCATGGATCTCAAGGTTTTACTGCCGAGCGAGAGAGGTGGGTCTGAGATTAATGGGGAGGGGGCATATGGAGAGCATGAAAGGGGGAAGCCAAGTGGGTTGTCAAAGGTACTGTGTGAAAGGAAGGACAGAAAGGCTCAACTGTTCTTCTAAAGCAAAGGTCAGAGAAAGAAGCAGCTCCATAACAAGTAGGGTCTGAGGCTCACTACCAGCCCGCCCGACAGCCAAACAGGGGACAGCTAACTTCTCCACACCAAGAGCTCAAGGGACAGCAAAGTGGATGCAGATACATTTATAGGGCAGAACGCAGCAAAGATGACTGCCCACCAAATGAAACTGTCTTGGGGCCTAAGGAACCTTAGCATCCTCCTGGGTCAGCAAGGGAACCCACAACTGAGCATCACTGGGGAGAAAGTCACTGAGCAGCCATCCTTTCCTGCAGAGGACTCAGGGGTCCAGAAAAGGGGATTAGAGAAGCCCAAGTGCAGATATGCTTTTGGGGTCTGTGGGAAGGGATTCGTACGATCTTCAGGATTATTTTGGAGTTATGCTTCCTTCACTCTCTCTTTTGGATGGGGCAGCACTAGCCAGGCCAAAGAGGACTAGATACCACCATGTTTAGCCCAAGTGGCTTCCTCTTGCTGGTCAAGCCTAGGCTTTTATTGCTTTCCCCTATATTAAGCCCATGATTACAGTAGGAAGGGTTGGAATTTCCTACACCCACTCCCCAGGCAGAGCGCATGGTCCATCTGTTTCAACAAAAGATGGGTTTACAAAGGCACTATGTCAGCTGGCCAGTTAAGCATGTTGAGAGTAAGGCAAAGTCATCCATCTTGGTCCTTCCCTGAAGTGAGAAATTTCTCCA